AACCAGTATAAAATCAAGTTTGCAATTCTTCTTCCCTACACTTTTATTTATTTGTTATTTAATTGTGTTTGAGTTGTTCTACATCATCATTCTTTACATAAAAATTTGTTTAAGGAAATAAATTGATAAGAAAGTAATTCAGAAAGGTTTTTATATTAAGAAAATTTGATTAACTTAATTCACCCCCCCTCTTAAGTTAATTGAGGCTAAGTGACTAACAATAATCACTGCGAGCTTGAAGAGGCTGCACAAATAAGACTTGCACGTACTTCATTGATTATCTAGTAGAACCCTTTATTTGAAGGAGATTGGACGTAGTTCAGTCTGAGTGAACTAGTATAAAAATACTTGCACTACGCTTTAATGTTTTAGACGCACTTTATTTGGTTGATCTAATATACTGAAAACTTTATCTAATGCTTATCGTCTATTAAAACTATTTTCAATCATTCAAATAGAGAGTTTTTGCCTAACTCATGCCTAATTCCATTCAACTTGCACTGGACGTTATCTAGGTAGATAGTTACTACCTTGATCATGTCTAGCTCCACTCAACTAGGACCCAACATCAACAAGTTATAGAGTTCTCGAGAAAAACCACATTCGACACCCCCTTAACCCCACACTCGATGTGACCAAGTTAAAGAGTTTTCCTCTAAGTCATGCTCAACACTAGCAATTCTACATTTGGTAGTAGTGAGGTAAAGCGCCTCTAGCCTGCATCATGCCTAACACCATGTAGTTGCGCCTAACACAATGGTGATTTTTGAAGTTAGATGAAAAACACATAGAAAGGGGGGTTGAATATGTGTTTGTGTGAACAAAGGAATTTTAAAAACGTTTTCGCAAGAAGACTCTTTTTCATCCAATAAAGACCCAATAAAAAGTAATCTAAGCTCTTGTTTGGCACGTATTCGTAAATGAGCATTTTTTCGTCATCTTCTAAGCAAAATCCCAGTAACCTCACTAGATTTCTGTGTTGAAGCTTAGCTATAACTTGAACCTCATTTTTAAACTCTACCGCACCTTGCCGGGAGCTTCCTGTAAGCCTCTTCACAGCTATTTCTTGTCCATCCGAAAGAATACCCTGAAAAACATATAGAAATAGTTAATTTGGTAAATGAGTAGACAACTGATATTTTCTTTTAATATGGAACTAGCTTATAAATTTACCCTATAGACCTCTCCAAATCCGCCTTTGCCTATCATATTTTCTTTAGCAAATCTATTTGTTGCAGCTTCAATTTTGGCCAACTCAAATCGCAATGACTCCAAAGTGGTGCTGTCATTCCCAACTGCTGCAAACAAATTTGAATTCTCTAAGTTAGCTGGCTAAATAAAGTGGTTCTTGAGGTCGTGAATAAAACAGGCGTATTTTTTTCTCCACATTACAGCTTTCTTTGAGAATATCATGATGATTCTTTGCTTCTTTTCTATGTAGAAAACAGCAGCAGCCCAAAGCTAAAAGCACCAGTGAAACAACAATCGGAACAACGATAACAACTACTGTTAATGTCTTCTGCTTTCTTTTACCTGCATGATATCAATACCTTGCGTCATTTCTACTTTGCAGCAAGAAGTATTAAACAACAAACAATCACGCGGCTATATAAACAAAATATTTCTCTTAATTAACTGGTGGGAGTTTTTATATATCTTTTGAACTATTCTCTTGAATGATTAAGGGGACAAATAGAGCTTGTGTTAGATATTTGATTTTGTCTTGCACACGTAGCAGTTTTATTTAGTTTTATTTTAGTTTTATTTACTTTTCTTATTGTTTTGAATTAGTCCTAGACTTTAGGAGAAAGTAATCACTTAGTCCTAGTGACCCTAGACTTTAGGAGAAAGTAACCACGTTACTTTAGTTAGTTTTTTTTTTCTGCAAGGTATTATAAATGTATTGGCAGTCAGAATAGTAGAATTGAATTCCCATTATTTTCACTCCAGAGTTAATATATTCATCTTCATACTTTGTTTCTTCTCTCTCTTGTTGTGCTCTGTTTTTGTTTTTGTTGCTGCACTTGTCTCTCAAAACCAACAACTGGTATCTAGAGCCCCATTCTTACGGACCTGTGAGCCCTATTCTTATAGACCTGCGAACCATTTTTCGTGCTGACTTGTGAAAATGGAAGCCGAATCAAATTTCTCTCAAATTGCACCTCCGATCTTCAACTGAGAAAATTATGATCTTTGGGCTGTCAAAATGGAGGCTTACCTAGAGGCTTTGGATCTTTGGGAAGCTATAGAAGAGGATTACGAAGTTCTTCCGCTGCCGGATAATCCCACCGTTGCCCAGATCAGAAGCTACGAGGAGAGAAAAATACGAAAGGAAAAAGCAAAGTCATGCCTTTTTGCGGGTGTTTCTCAAACAATCTTTACAAGAGTCATGGCTCTCAAAACGGCAAAATCAATATGGGATTATTTGAAGGAGGAGTATGCTAGAGATGAAAGAATTCGAAGCATGCAGGTACTTAATTTAATGCGGGAATTTGAGTTGCAAAGGATGAAAGAATTCGAGACAATCAAGGAATACTATGACAAATTGTTAGGTATTGCCAACAAGGTGAGGTTGCTGGGCAGTGATTTTGCAGATTCCAGAATTGTTGAGAAAATTCTAGTGACGGTGTCGGAGAGGGAATAATCGATTATTTGGAAAATAATCGATTATCTGGGAAAATAAGAGGAAATGACCCTCGGGAATAATCGATTATTCCAAAAATAATCGATTATTTAGTACAGAAAGGGTTTTTCAAAGGATTTTACTAATACAAATAATCAATTATTTGTATAGATAATCGGTTATTTGCGCGACCCTTGGTTTTCCAGATGGTTTTTGAATGGTTTTATTCGCGCCAACCCCCAACCTCCCACTTCTATTCATAAGTAGCACCTCTCCTCTACCTCAATCCGGTGTTAGGGCTTTTATAACACCTAAACCTTTTTATTTTTCAAATACCCGCATTCTCTCAACTCTCACACAAACCCTAAACTACTTTCTTCTTCATCTTCTTCATCTCCAACAAAGAACCCACCTTTAACCTCAAAATGGCCTCATCGTCCAAGAGACCAAAGAAGCTTGAAGTCAGGGGGAGCAGAAGACCTCTGCCCAGGAGAGCTGAGCAACTCATCTCTAAGTGGTTTGCTGATGAAAAGACCCAAGATTACTATTTTGAATGGTATGCGGGTAGGAGAATCATTCCTCTAAAGACCTTGAAGCTAAACTGGTTCAAGAATGAGGGTTTTAGTTTTCCTCCTCTCTTGGAGCATCAGGAACTTGGGAAGTTCTTGGAGTTAGAAGGACCGTATTACCCTGAGCTTATAAGGCTGTTCTTATGCTTTGCCTCAAGCAATGAAGGGATAATGCAAGCTGTGGTGAAGGGCAAGCTTATAAAGCTTGATGGTCCAACATTAAAGGAAGCAGCTAGGCTGAGCGGAGACGGGAGTACGAAGCCCCAACCCTTTAATTTTGGAGATTTTGAGGAGCTGACAACTTTTAGAGATTGTCAAAGGAACCTAGAGACCACTAATTACACAAACTTTTTGGCCGGAGGTATGAAGAAAAATTCAAGGTTGATTTCTTTTATTATAGCTTGGATGATTAAGCCTAGACTACATAATCATGCTCAAATGTCTAGGGATGACATTTTGCTTATGCATGTTATTAACAAAAAGATTAAGATAGATTGGGTATCTGTGGTGAATGATTGTATGTGGAAATCTAGGAGGAAGGAGGATGGTCCAATACCATATGCTTTGTTATTATCTAGGATTTTTGAGAAAGCCTGTGTGGATCTTAAAGGCTAGAAAAAGATAGTTCTCCATGCCTCGAACAAAATTGAAAAATCTTCTTTACATCATATGGGGATGCTGAAACAAGAAGATAAATGGGTATTCAAAGGAGATGTTCCTCCGACGCTTGAACCAGCAACAGATGAAGATGGTGTTCCATCTCATGATGAAGACCAGCCACCACAAGTGGAAATTGAACCTGAACAAGAGCAAGAATCGGAGCCTAAAGCGTTTTCTCCGTTTGAGAAAATTATGATTAACAAGCTTGATGCAGTAATGAAGATGTCAAGGAAGCACGAGTCATATTATTCCGACATTCTTGATCGGTTTGATAACCTTGATCATGAGATTGCACGAATTAAGGATCATCTTGGAATGCAAGAGGACTCGGAGTGATTTTGGAAGCTTTAGTGTTCTGTTATGTTTTTTTAGTTTAAATTTGTGGTTTTAAATTTCATTTGGGTTGTAATCATGTTAATTCTTGAACAATTATCTTGGTTTATCTTGTTTTGAACAATTTAAATTCTGGTGCAATATGAATTTCATTGTGATTATATTGTGTTTGGGATGATTTGCTGATGGAAAACTTTGATTTGGTTGTTTTACTGCTATATTGTGGTTTGTACATTGATGTGTGCAAATAGTAGTCCATATTTGTTATGTTTGCTATGATGCTTAGCTGATGTATCATGTGGCTGAAATATTGTGTTTGAAATACAAATTGTGTGAATGTGGTATAAAATTCCCTGATACAAATTCTTATATTACTTTTGGGTTAATTGGAACAATGCCTATAATGATATTGCTTGACTAATTTCTTGGTATTAAGTTGGTCTTGTGGCATTAGTTTTGAGCAAATGATTCTTGTGCATAATTCAATACATGTGAAATCTAGACATATGAATATATCTGGTTGTTTTTGATGATGTCCAAAGGGGGAGAAAGGTTTTTGAGTTTGTTTTGCAGATGTGAAATGATGGTTTGCAAAACAAAATGGCTTGTATGGTTTTTCATCATCAAAAACGGGGAGATTGTTGAGATTCATGGAGTGGTGAATCAACTCAAACTTGGAGAATGAAAGTTTTGATGATAACAAAATGTGGATTTTGAGAATCAAAGCTGACCAAGGACATCAACAAGTCAAAAACAAAGTCAAGAAGAAAAATATGGCTATTATGATGTGTAATAGGGATAGCTCATAAGTTGTATTGATTTGTTTAGCTTATTTTGCATGTGTGTGCTTTGTACATGAGTTAATCTTAATCTAATTTGACTGAGAGTGAGTTTGATGATGATTTAAATACTTGAAAAGTTATTTTGAGATAGAAAACTGAGTTTTTGAAAAATGACTCAAAATAATCGATTATCATCAAAGATAATCGATTATTCTAGCAACAGGTGAAAAGGAAGCCTTGCTGTAATAATCGATTATTTGTGAAATAATCGATTATCCCAGGAAGCACTCCCTGGAATAATCGATTATCCTGCAAAATAGTCGATTATTATGTTCTTGGGTGATTTCTAGAACTCATGAAGAACAAAATAATCGATGATCCTTTAAACTAATCGATTATCTGGTTTTGAAAATGTTATAAATAGTTTTCACACTTTGAAACATCAAAACAGAGAATGAGTTAACAATCAAAAAGAGAAAAATGTTGTTGTGAAGCCTTTGTGACCTTCTTGGAGCGTTTTCTTTGTGAAACCAAGAAGTAAAACATTTTTGAAATGCTTTGAAAGAGATCATCATCATCATCACATTCTTTGAAGAGAAAGATTAAGATTTGCTTCTGAATTCACAGTCTGATTTGTTCAGCTTCCAGGTGAATTCGTTCCTTTAATTCTTTGTGAATAATTGTAAATCTTGAGTAGGTGTCTCAAGTGGTAAGGAATTCTTGTAGTGGGTTTCTACAAGAGGTTCTTTCTTGGGGTCAAGAAAGTGGTTATCTTGAATGTAGGAGTATATGCATATGTGGTATGCTTGTAAAACTTCTTCATTGAGATAGTGGAACAAATCTTGATCAGGTTATGATTGAGGACTGGATGTAGGTCACATGTGGAGTGGCTGAACCAGGATAAAAGACTTATGCATTCTTCTCTTACCCTTATCGTTTACTTTGAGTAATATCTTGGTTGTGTGTTAAAGGGAATAATCTTGATTAATATGTGTGTATGCACAACATTGCTTTAAACTGAATCATAGTGTTGCATACTAAGTGTTCATAACTTTGAACTTTATCTAAGATTAATCAAGAAAGAATATAGGACTCATTCCCATTAACAAGTCTTTCAAGGAACTTCTTTGAGAATTCATATTAGAAAAGTTTGAATTGGAATAAAGATCCTAAGAACTCTGAAAAATTTTAAAAGTGTCATAGAATCCAATTCACCCCCCCTCTTGGATTGAGCCATTCTTTTCTAACATTTTCGGCCAAGCACTCTCAAATGCAACCCTAAATGCTTCCTCCCTTCTATAAATACCCTAGGCTATGCAACTTGTAATCACTTTGGAATATATGAATTTGAGTGAGCATTTTTGCCTCAAATCCTCTCCTTAGTCACCTAGGTCATCACGGCCTAAACCTTCCCTCTCCTCCCTTGAGTGAGTTTAGGGTTTATTGGTGGCCTTCATCTCCACTTGGTGAAATGAGCCAACCTAGAACCACCTAGACACCTTCCTCCTCCCTTTTCTGATATTCGCCCATCCCAAACACCATACGCCCATTCTCCTCTTCCTCCACCCTTGAAGGAAAGTCCAACC